GGGGGGCGCGGGGCGCGGGCCGGCTGCGGGCGTGCGTTCGGGGCCGGGCCGCGCGTGGGCAGGGCGGGGGCGGCCAGGTGCACGGGGCCGCGGGAGGGGCTGGGGGCGCGGGCGGCGGGAACTCGCGGCAGGGGCCGCGGCCTGGGCGGGCGCTGGGGGAAAGAAGTTGGCGGAGAGGCGCGGCTGCGGGGGCCTGCGGGCGTGAGGGGGCGGCGGAGCCCGGGTCGGCGGGGTCTGCGTCCCGGAGCCGCCGCGTCCGCGCCCCCAGGGCCACTCTGCAGAAGGCCGAGGGGCTCCTCTCCCACTCCGGCTGGCGTTGAGCGCTCCGGGAAACTCCTCCAGAAGTTGTCAGGCAGCTCTAGGCTGTGTCCAGGGACTGGCCCCAAGCACCGAGGGAGCCTTGGGGAGGGGTGTGAAACCGTGGCCTTCGGGGGGTGACCGGCTTTGGGGCCCTCTCCAGGGCCCCTCCTCCTTAGACACTTGGCTGAGAATGAACTTAAAAAGCGAGGTGCGTTGGGGGTGGGGCATGCCGAGAGGGCAAAGGGTCTGGAGGAGCTAGGGGACTTGCCAGGCTGGTCAAAAATGCCACGCTGGCGGCTGGCTTCAAGTTCAGGGCCTTGCCTGCAATCATTGATTCCAGCACTCTAAAATTCCCAAGAAAGACCCAAAAAGCGAGTTTTTTTTTTTTTTTTTTAAACTAACTTCTCAGGGGCTGACATTTGGGGTTTGGAAAGGGTTAAGATTCGGGGTGCTAGTGAGGGAGAGTTGAATTGCTCACATGTCAGCTGAGTGCCCTTAGAATAGGCAGCCACGATTTGGTCTCTGTCACCTGCCTGGGGTCTGCAGACCTTACAAAGACAGGCTTTGTTGCCAGGTAGGATTTCCTGTAGCCTTCTCTGTGTCCGGGTGGGTGGCACTGCCAGCCTGGACAGGGCTAGAGATCTTGGGCCTGTCGTGGGATACTTGGAGCGAAGGCCCTAACTGGGACCTGTAGGGCCTGGGGTCATAATGACAGAGGCACCCACTGGGATCCCGAAGCCTCTCTGTTCTGGGTGGCTAGTACCTGTGTGCACCTTTTTTTCTTTCTCCTGTGGAGGAGTGCCAGGAAGAATACAGAGGTCCCCACCTGTCTGGGGTTTTAGTAGGAGGCCACCCACCTCCTGGGGGACCCCTTTGCAGAAAGCCCACTGTCCTCTGCCATCTGCATCCAAGATGGACTCTCACTGCCGCTCCTGCGGCTTCCCTGTCATCATTCCTCACGCCCTCCAGCCCTGCCTCCTGCTCATGGGTTGCCAAGCTGCGGCCTGGCCGGTGGTGGCAGTGGCGGAGTTAGACAAAGCCCCTGCCTCCCCCGCCCGAGAGCCCCCCCAGGCGCCCCAAGTGGCGGGAAGGCCGCCAGCTCCCCAGGCCCAGGCTGCTCTTTGTCTGGCGTGGGGGCGGGGAGCTGCGCCTGGCCCCAGGAGCTTCCTGGCCTCTGCCAAGCCCTCCCGGCTCCCTGTACACTGTGCTCATTGTCTGAGATGCGCTGCTCCACTGGCTTGTGCTGACGTGGAGCTGCCTCTCGGTGGCCTCCCCTGGCCAGGTCCCTGTGTCTGCAGGAAGGAGTGGGCGTGAGCGGCACTCAGGGCCCTTCCACTAACTCTCCCTAGGACCGAGCATACCCCCAACACTGAATAACGGTCTGGCCTTGGTGAACCAGGGTCCTCCGCCACTGTACCTGGGTGATGGGAATGCCAGTCTTGGAGCTATTGCTCAACTCCTACAACTGTAGTGAGGCGACTTATTCCTCTTCTCCCCATGCCCAAACCTCCAAACCTAACTTCATCAAACTGTAGATTCTAGACCTTCTATTGGGGAGCATTGCCTCCAACAGATGGAGAAACTGAGACCCAGAGAAGGAAGCACCTTGTTGAGGATCACACAGCCAGGGGGGGTACAGGTGCGATGGGCCCCTAGTCCAGGAGGGAAGAAGGGTCCAGGGGAGGTGAGAAACAGTGAAAAGAGCTCCAAGGGACAGGGCAGAAGGTGGTCTAGGGCTTCAAGGACGTGGCCAGCCCACCTCCTACCGGGCGCTGGAGTCTTCTAACCACCTCCAAGTGCTGTGCAGTGGCATGCCAGCCTGTCACAGCTGCTCTGCCTTTCTGAGCCCAGAGTGATGTGATGGCCTGCAGCAGTCAGGATTGGAACCCAAGCCTCGGACTGTGGAGCCCGTACCCCCAGACCACACGCAGGCCACATCCGAAGGCTCTGGATACTGGGGTCTGGCTGTTATGGTCAGGGAGCAGGAGGTTGCCACCCTGCCTGTGTGTTGGTGTCTGTATGGCCATGGTTTCTGTGGATGGGGGTCATAGGTATGCTTGTCTGCATCCCCATCCTGTGCAGCATGTCCCCATAGCACAGGTGTCTAATCATCCCCACTGAGGGGCGTAGAGCCTGGGCTTGGAGTGGACAGTGCTCAGTCCGGCTCAGGGTCTGGATCCACACTGGAGCGGTCCCAGGGGGGAAACCGCGCGGGCCAGACCCCTAGGAAGACACCTCAGCTGCTCTCCCCAGCTTCTGGGCAGAGGGAGGGATTGTGGGGCGCTGGCTTGTTGCTCAACCTCTTCTGTGGCTCTGAGCCTCTCTGCAGTTGGGGCTTGGATCCAGGGTTCTCAGGGCCCCTCCCAGCTCCAGCAGCCTGGGGCTCCTGAACTTCCTCCTGCCCCTCCCTTCGCCCATACCAAATGAGCAGCTGGTCTGTTGGCCGGCCTGGCACCAGCTGTCCATCCCTGGGGCCAAGTCCGTGGAGCCCGCTGTATGTGAGACACCGTTTGGCTCTGGGGGCGACAGGCAGGCAGCTGCTGAAGAGGACTAGGTAAATTCTCCATGGTTACCGCTGTTTGTAATTCTGCAGGACATCCTTTACCCGCTAATGGCCACTCGGACGCCATTATGGGTCTGCATGTTCCTGCCACGGGCCCCCTCCAACCCACATCCAGGAGGTGACATTCTTTTAGCTGGGCTCTGGACTGTACTTGGTCCCCAACTACTGGCTACAGACAGCGTGCTCAAGTGTTGCATTCCATGGGTGGGGCCTAGCCCTCCCCTCTCAGGGTGCAGAGCCCTGGGGGGCATAGACTGTCATCAATCCTGTCCCTTTTGGGGGGAGGAATGACATTGGCTCAGAGTGGTTGAGAGGCCTGTCTGAGGCACACAGGCTGTGATGTTAAGAGTGTTGTTCTGGTGTGCAGGGCACCTGTCGACAACTAGGGCTGGGCTCAGTTCCTTCGAGGCCTTCTAGTCTTCAGTCTCTGTTACATATTGTGTGCAGAGACCAAGCACACAAGAACAGGGGTTTCCATGTGTATGAGATCTTGGTCCTGGGGGACTTTGTGGCAGGGACATGGCTCTGGGTCACCAGCCTCTAGTGTGCAGGACGCAGGGACAGATAGTAAGGATTAGGCTGAGAAGGGTAGATTTTGTCTTTGGTGCCAGTCCCCTCTTGTGTGGAAGGCTTGCTGTGGCCGGGATGGGCCAGTTATCAAGGCTGCATGTCAGGAACGTGGCCTTTGGAGGTCAAGAGCAGAGTTCTCTGCCCTGTGAAGAGCAAAGATCACAGATGGTGATGTGAGTCCCAATGTCCTTGCCTAGGGTGCAGTTAGCTAAGACTGCAAGGTTCTTATCCTTCTCTCCTCCCTTACAGCTGGAAGTGTCCACTCGCCTTCCACCAGCATGGCAGCATCCTCCCAGTACCGCCAGCTGCTGAGTGACTATGGGCCACCATCGCTGGGCTACACCCAGGTAGGGCAGTGTGGGCGCCCGCAAGGTGGGAGGGCCTGGGGCTCTGGGGAGATGTGCTCACAGACTGAGGCAGTCTCCTCGAAACCTCTCCCAGCCCTGTTGGGTCATGGTCAGGACTTGAAGCTGCAGGATGGAGAGGCAGCCAGGACTGAGTGACAGGGGACGCTGAGGTTTGAGGAGGGGCAAGCACAGGGAAGGTCTCGCAGTCTCTGAGATGCAGTTCTGCCAGGGCCAGCACCCCACATCTCTGGTGGCTCCTTCTTTTCCCGTTTCCTGGCAAGTAAGGCCTGACTGACTCTGGGCTGTAGGCTGGGTCAGAGGTAAGGCCTCCTCATCAAGAGCTGGCAGTTACCAGTGTGGTCCCCAAGTGAGTGGTTCTGCACTTAAGGGACTGCAGCCCCCCTTGGAAATCTCCAGGAGACTCAGGGTCCTCAGGGAAGGAGGAGCCACCACTTTAGCCACAACTCGGGAGATATGGTGCCCGGGGAGGTTCCCAGTCCTCTGGAAGCCCTGGTCACCAGCTGAAGATTCTCTCTTGGGCCAGACCCCAGGCCGAGTTCCGGGGTTGCCGTGGAGCCTGCGCCGGGGTTGAGGTGGCCTCTCTGTCACTGAGTGTGGCTTCCCAGCCATGCCCCAGCAGGCTGTCTTGTCCCAGGAGGAGAAGCAGGCCCGGGCCCAGGAGAGGGACCGCCTGAAGAAGCGGCATCGGCGGGAGGACGGGCTGCGGCGCAGCCTGGAGCGGCAGCGCAACGCTCTGGCCATGCTGCGCCGGCGCCGGGAGAAGCGTGAGGCCAGGAGGCAGCCGTGCCAGGAGGCCGGGCGGCCAGGCTGGGCCTCGAGGCCTGCTGGCGAGGCCAGGGAGCAGAGGCGGCAGAGGCGGGAGGAGCAGGCGAGGGCCTTGCAGAGAGAGCTGGCTGCCCTGGTGCCACCGAGGGCTGAGCAGGCCCAGGAGGAGGAGTGGCCTGAGCCTGGCGCCTCGCTGATCTGGGTGCTTGCGGGCGGCGCTGGTGGCAGTGGTCTGGAGAAAGGGACTTTCTGGCGGGTGGCCCTGCCTATGGGGAGGACTGGGTGATTTGATATACTCCTGGCCCCGGCTGGGATCTTGGAGTTGCCATTTCCACCTCACCTCGGGGTGGCTTCCATCTGCCATTGCTGTGGACACTCAGTCCCCAGAGACTCTTTCCTCATGGCCCCAGGGAACTCCCTGTGAATTCTTTTCCTGGAGACAGTTCTTTATTTTCCTTTGGGGTGGAAAGGAGCTTTCTGGGCTCTTGGGGGTCAGTCTTCTCTGGTATTGTCCCCGCAAGTCCTGGGAGCCCACCCCAGGCTTTCCCTGCTCTGATCCTGCCCTGGGCTGTGCCTGTTTGTGGTCGGGGCCTAACCATGGCATTGGGGTCAGGTTCAATGCATTTGAAACCCCGTCCTTGTGATTCTAGGGAACTGGAAATAGCCAGGTGCCCCAGAGCAAGTATGCGGAACTGCTGGCCATCATTGAAGAGCTGGGGAAGGAGATAAGACCCACCTATGCAGGGAGCAAGAGCGCCATGGAGAGACTAAAACGAGGTGAGCAGAGGTCCTGGGGGACCTACAGGCTGATCCAGTCACTATTTTGAAAGATTTTTTTTTAAAGCTGGTCATGATGGCACATGCTCAGAGTCCCAGCTTCTTGGGTGGTCAAGGCCGGAGGATCACATGAGCCCCCAGGAATTTGACACCAGCTGGGGCAACATAGTGTGATCCATCTCAATAAAAAAACTGAAAGGTTTTCTCGGGAAAATGCTAGAGGTAGAAAAGGGTCTCCTGCTCCATGGTCTGCTTTGCTGCGGTGCAGTGGGGTGGGGGCAGGGCCAGTGAAGGCTGGGTGTTACAGGTGGAGTTTGCAGTGCGCTGTCACTCTGGCATGCTGCATGAGAGGCCCTGCGGCTCCAGACCCGGAGGCCATGTTCCCTGGCTGCTCTGTCCCCTTAGGTGATACCAGCAGGGAGCCAGCTGCAGCAGGCTCTTCCTGGGCAGTGTTGTGCAGAGGTTACTGGAAGGCCTGGGTTTAGGGCTTCTAGTTGTCTACGCTGCCCTCTGCTGTCACATCTTTGGCACAGGACCAAGGAAGGGGGCAGCGTGTCTTCAGTGTGGGGCACCCTCAGGTTCTTTAGTGATGGAGGCGAGAGGAAGGTCAAGAGGGTGCTGTCACAATAACTCGGGAGGAGGATGTGAAGTAGCTTGCTGCCTCATGACATCAGATGCATGCAGGGAGAGGAGGATTTCTAGTTAGAGAAGTTGGCTGTTCACTGAGCTACATCCTCAGCAGTTTATTTATTATTTTTTTGAGAGAGGTTTTCCCTGAGTTCCCCAGACTGGCCTGGGATTTGTGACTCTTCTGTCTCAGCCTCTCGAGTGGCTAGGACTATAGGCATCTGCCACTGTACCCAGCAGAAAGCATTGTTGATAGACAGGTAAACTATAGCCCATGAACTGAGAAAGGTTTTTATAGTTTTTATTGGTTGCAAAAAAAAAAAAAAAGTGATTTGGAGACATATGAAATTGAGACTTCAGTGTTCATAAATACAGATTGATTTGGACTGGCTACACTCATGGTTTGTACATTACGCCTGGCTGCTTTCACTATATGCTAGCCGAGTAGAGAAGCAGTGACAGACCGTGAAACCCTGTAATAAATGCTGACGATTTGAGCAAGTTTTCTGAACCTCTGAGGCAGATTGTAAGAATACTGGGTGTGGACGCCTTGTTTTAGCTGCTGGTGGTTTGGAGAGGTGATCATAGTGGCCTCTAGTCATATACTAGAATAGAATTTTTGGTGTCTCTTTAAATGAGATTAATATTTTATGAAGCTAAGTAGGGGCAGAAAGAAAAAGTTAGCCACCAAACCACAGAGAAAAAGTTGGGGAGCTTCATGGGCACAGGGCAGCTGAAGTTCCTAGGGGAAGGATGTCAAAGTGCACCAGCAGTTCCACAGGTGAGCAGTGTCCTCTTGTGCCTGAGGCATGTGGACTGGGGGTTTCCTCTTACCTACTTGACACTGGCTTATCCCTTTCTAGGATTTAGAATTTGAAGAAGCCACATTGTGTCCAATGTAAAAGAACTTTTGCATTTTTTTCTCCCACCTTCCAACAAAATGTTGAAAAGGATAGCTTGCTGGTGCCACTCTGAGTGCAGGAGAGATTTTGGCAGTACAAAGAGGTTTTTTTTGCCTAGGAGCAAGGAGCTTTAAAGGTGGGACTGTTAATGTCCCTTAACAGCTCATATATTTGGGTTTTCTATTGGAGGCAGTGGTCCTCAATGTTACCCAAGGTGGTCTTGATCTCTGGACCCAAGTGATCCTCCTGCACCACCCTCTAACAGCAGATACCATAGGTGTGCACCACTACCCCTGGCTTTGAGTTTTTTGCATGTAGTTCCCAGGTTCCCTTCTAGTCTGAGGTATTATTTTTATTTCTTATTTATTTATTTGTGGTGATGGGGATTGAACCCAGGGCCTTAGGCATGTGAGGCAAGCATTCTACCAACTGAGCTATATCCCCAACCCCTTATTTTTAGTTTTTGCAGTGCTGGCAAACCCAGGGCTGCACTCGTTAGGCATATCTTTCAACCTTTGAGCTATCCCAGCCCTTTTTTCTTTTTCTTTTATTTTTTTAAAATATTTATTTAGTTTTTGGCAGACACAATGTCTTTGTATGTGGTGCTGAGGATCGAACCCGGGCCACACGCATGCCAGGCGCGCGCGCTACCGCTTGAGCCCCAGCCCCATTTTCTTTTTATTTTGAGGCAGAGTCTCACTAAGTTGGCAAGGCTGGCCTTGAACTTGAACTTCTGGTCTTCCTGCTATAGCTTTCCAAGCATCTAGGATTACAGGTGTGAGCCAACATACTGGGCACAATCTGAGGAATTTTTTTGGGGGGTGGGGGGTTTACCAGGGATTGAACCCAGGGGTGCTTCACCACTGAGCTACATCCTCAGCCTTTTTTTTTTTTTTTAATTTTTAGTTGTCGATGGACCTTTATTTATTTACATGCGGTGCTGAGATTTGAACCCAGGGCCTCACGTGCCAGGCAAGTGTTCTACCACTGAGCCACAACCCTAACCCCCCTCAGCCTTTATTTTTTGAGACAGGGTCTTGCTAACATGCCGAGGCTGGCCTCAAACTTGTGACAATTTGAGGGTTTTATGGTGGATCCTCCTGTTCTGGAAAGGGTGCTGATTGGGTTGATTCCAGACCTGGGCTTCTCTTTCAGGCATCATTCACGCACGAGGACTGGTTCGGGAGTGCTTGGCTGAAACGGAACGGAATGCCAGGTCCTAGCCTCCCCGCCAGCTTGGGGGTTCCTGGCTCTCTACAGCTCATCTCCCCTGTTCAGATGAAATACTCATTTTCAAAATGGTAACAGTTTAGTTTTTTCTCCCAAGATTCACAGTCTCAAAATATTGGGAAAAGATTTCGAAGTTAATTAGGATTTGCATTTTAAGTAGTTAGGAATGACCCAGGTTTTTTTGTTTTTGTTTTTTTAAGATGCATGTGAAGTTATTTTTCAGCAAACTATTGTTTGGCTCCAAGATACCAGTGTCTCCCTTTAATCTTTTGAATACTTTATGTCACCCAAGTTGTTATTTGTACCTTTTCATAAGCTCATTTGATCCCAAGGACTTTGTTTTAATGCATCCTGACCACCTGCTTCACTTAGCTGGTCCCATGTGCCATACAGTGTAGATTCTGCTTACTGGCACTTCTTTTTTGCTTAAGCATTTGCATGACTCTTAGTGCTTTGAAGTCAATTTTAAGAGTGCACAAGTTATAAATACAGAAGAAAGAGCAACCTACCAAATCTAATAAGGACCCCGAAAATTTTCATACTAAGACTGTATGTAGATTTCAGTTTGTGTTTACTGTAAGTTGATCAAAACATCTGGAAGAAAATGACTAAAACTGTTTGCATCTTTGTATGTATTTATTACTTGATGTAATAAAGCTTATTTTCATTAACAATGTGTATTGAGATGTATATTCCTTGAATTTCTAAGTGCAATTAAAGCAGTTCAGCCTTTGTGAAAGATTGGAGATGACCTGTCAAAGGACATTTTCTGACAAAGTTCAGCTGGGTGGAGAAAGGACGTGTTTGCTTTAGCATAGGTAGGGATGACGCAGAGTTGCACGATGGGTTTATTTAAGATGTAGTTAAGTGTATGCTAGGAAACCTGCGGCAGCCGTGAACTGCCCTTTCTGCCAGGGTGTTAGGAACTGCCCTTTCCACCAGGGTGTTAGGAGCCCCAGAGGCTATTTCTCATTCCACGTGGTGGCGACTTGGGTATGCGCTGGAGGAAGGGTCTGCTCTGGAGCTGAGAGGAGTGACTCCATGTGGTGCTTTCCAGCAGTGCTTTCCACAGGGGCTCAGTTCATTTCTGCTGTGCAACCTCAGCACTGACCCCTGTGGTGAGGGTTTGCCTTGCTGAGGGTAGACCCAGGAAAAGGGAGGGAGTTTTGCAGGTGGGAGGCAAGATCTGACTGGTGGGTGTGGGCTGTGGTGGGGTGGCTCCTCTGCACCTTCTCCAAGCATGTGACAAGGGTGAAGAGGAGAGGTCAGCCTCTGTTCTTTCTGGCTGTGGCTCTAAGTCTGCCTTCCAATCTTACTGGTTTCTTGGCTCTCACTGAAGAGACTATTGCTCAGGGGAGCTGGTGGGTAGGGTCCCTGATGCACCAGTGGGAGGCATGGAGAGCCCTGCTCGGATGTCAAAAGGGCTGGGCTGCTGGATGGATCAGCTTCACGGCAGGTGATGTAGGCCGGATTTCTGGCAGTCTGATGGTGGCCCCCTCACCTCAGTATTTTCCCTACCTGCAAGCTGTTAACCATGGATATAAAAAACCCAGAGAACAGTGACAAAACCAAACCTATAAGGTCAAGTCCAGAGTGATGCAAACTCACAAACACATCAGGTTTTGGAACCTTATTCCTAACACATCTGCTTGCATGTCAACACAGAATGACATGTTTTTCTACATCAAGAGACATTACTTGGCAACATACAGTGTGTCTTAGTAAATGGGCAAGTAACTTGAGTATCTTTTTTTAACTTTCATCATCACTTTCTCTTACTCTCAAACCAACCTTAGGATAAATGACATCTTTTTTTGTTCAGGGATTTTGTTCAGTGCTTAACCACTGAACCACATCCCCAACCCCCCCCCCCCCCCCCTTTAAAATTTAGTTTTAGGTGGACACAATATATTTTACATTTATGTGGTGCTGAGGATCGAACCCAGTGCCTCATGCATGCTAGGCAAGCACTCTACCACTGAGTTACAACTCCAGACCCTATCCCTATCCCTATATAAAAAAAAATATTTAGAGACAGGATCTTGCTGAGTTCCTGAGGCTGGCTTTGAATGCGTGATCTTCCTGTCTCAGCCTCCCAAGCCACTGGGATTACAGGCATGCACTACTGCACCCAGCAAATTTCTAAAGGTTTTATACAATAGACAATCAGGACTAGGATTGTGGCTCAGTGGCAGAGCGCTTGCCTCTCATGTATAAGGCACAGGGTTCAAATTCTCAGCACAACACAAAAATAAATAAAGGTACTGTGTCCATCTACAACTAAAAGAAAAAAGAAAACTCAATCACATAAATCAATGAATAGCTTCAAGTAAGGTAAAGAATAAGCCAGGTGTGAGGGGAACACTTTAGTCCCCACTGCTCTGGAGGCTGAGGCAGGAGGATCACTTGATTCAAGAGTTTGGGGCCAGCCTGCCTTTCCTTTTCTTTCTTTCTTTTTTTTTTTTTTTTTGTGGTTCTGAGGATTGAACATGGGGCCTTATGCATTATAGGCGAGTGCTCTACCTCTGAGCTCTGCAGCAGCCCCAAAGACCCTTTCTTTGGGAAAAAAAAAGGGCTGAGGTTACAATATTGGAAGGGTACCCATCTAGTATGTGTGATGCTCTAAGTTCAATCCCCAGCGCACCACCTACCATACGCAGACCCATGAGCAGGTAACTTCCAACTGTTGCCCAGGTCAAGAAACAACTCCTCTAGCCATCCTGGAAGTCACATCAAGTGCCTCCCCCCAAAAGTAGCCAGTACCCTTTTATAGTGACAACTTTCTTGTGTTTTATTTCCAAAGTGTGCATCAATATTCACTATAGTTTAGTCCACCACTTAAAAACTGATGTCTTTTAAATCTGTCAGTTATTTCTTTAAAAGCTTTGTACCAGTGCTGGTGACAGGAGTCGCCATCATCTTTCCCTGGAAGCCTTTTGGCGAAGTCAGCTGGAATCAGTGATTACTTTCTCAGTAGAATTTTTACTTGATTCCCATAATTGTTTCAATAGTTTCTTTTTTTCTAGAGTTTCCTTTGCTCTTTTTTTCCTGTCTTGCTTTTTCTTTGCTGCCTCCTGTTTTTCTTTGTAAACAGGACTATTTTCACCATTGTAGAAAACATCCACTTTCTCTTGTAGGATTTTCCGAGCGAGCTTTCTGTTGTGATCAACAGATCTTGTCTGATGGCACTGCAAGAGATAATGTTCCATGATGTGAAAATCATAGGTGTCAAGAGATGGAAGGACCTGTGAGAAATCTCTGCCCTTTATGGTCTGGTCAGGCTAGGGAGGCACAGCACTGGCCAGGAGTTCCCCTGAGTCTGTGACAGTGAATACCATATTCTTCCTCCTTTGCTCTAGGTCGCTGCCCCTTCTCACACCCCAGCTGGGTTATGTGACTTTCACTGTGTCTGTTTTATAGTTGTTATTATTTTTTTTCTTTTTGGTACCAGGGATTGAACCCAGGGTCGCTTAATCACTGAGTCACATCCCCAGAACCTCCTTTTTTTTTTTAAGAGACGGATCTCACTGAATTGCTTAGGGCTTTGCTAAGTTGTTGAAGCTGGCTTTGAACTTGTGATCCTCCTGTCTCAGCCTCCTGAGCTGCTGGGATTACAGGCGTGTGCCACCATGCCCAGCAGTTATGTTATTTTTGTTTAGAAGCAACAATAGCCTTTAAATAGCTTAAGTCCCCCCCAAAATTGTGAAAACATTAACTGATGATCTGGCTGTGACCAGGGAACAAACCCGTGCATCATCTATATGCACCATTTGTAAGCTAATATCTAATAGAGGAAAATACTATATTATTAGCCAATCACAGCATTCCTTATATAAAGGCATTGTCATTATGGGCAAATAACTTGCAAAGCTGGTTGACAAATGAAATACTGTGAAACAAGAGTGAAAGAATACCAGAAGCAAGCCAGAAGCCACATGAAGTAGAGAGGCTCAACAAAAATTAATGATACAAGTTTTCAGAATTTCATTACTTGTGAATGACAGTTTTTCTTAGGAGGAAAAGAAAAGTAATTTGAGCTTTTAACTGGTATGCCCTTGGCTTCCGAAGTTGGCAGTAAACTGTAGCTATCAGGAACATGGACCCTGGGTTCAGTCAAACCTTGGGCAAGTTATGTGACAAGCATGGGGTTGTGGAGATGGAAAAAGTCAGTGTGTGTGTACAGTTGCTTATAAGAGTGTCTGTCACATGTCATGTGATGTGTGGGTATTTGCTACGAGTACCTGGGGACGACTCATTTGCCCCTGTGCTAGCTCTCTCTAGTGTCCCTCCAGGCTGGCGCTGCTTTGGGGCCCTCTAGTGATAGATGTGTGGTAAGATGGGCTGGCAGCTCCAAGACCAGACCAGGAGACAGGTGAGAGCACTTCACCACTTGCTAGAGGTTCAAGACTGGCTGAGAGCTGGTGGTATTTTTTTTTTTTTAATATTTATTTTTTTTAGTTATCAGCGGACACAACATCTTTGTTTGTATGTGGTGCTGAGGATCGAACCCGGGCTGCACGCATGCCAGGCGAGCGCGCTACTGTTTGAGCCACATCCCCAGCCCCTGGTGGTATTTTTGATAAGGAATTTTTTTTTTTTTTTTTTAAATAAGGAGATGCCTACAGGCAGCTGTACAGAGCACTTTTTCTTCTGAGGCTCAACATGATTTGCTGGATGGGTAGGTGTCACTGACATTGACCAAAGTGGCGCCAGAAGAACATGGAGGACGTGGCCATTCATTAGAAAGCCGTCAGCTGATGGCTGCCACAGCTAGCAGGCAGCATGGGCCCACTTGCTGCCCCTCAGAGACCCAAGGCCACAGCATTGCCACAGGTCTCTGGTCACCAGTAGCTAGAGTGGATTTGAAGGAAACACGCTACCCAGGGACCTGCCTTTACCAGCCACCACCACTTTGCCTGGTTGAGATGCTGCTGCGTAGGCAGCAACCAGACACCACCAGTGCTGCCTGCTAATTCAAGGATGGCACTAGTACCTTGGCTCCAGAGGGTCCTGGAACCAAGCTTCTAATGCTGTATGGGGAAACTGGCCCAGGGCACAGGGCAGATCTGCTGGCAGAGGATGGCCCATGCCAGGATGAGAATGCCCTCAGCAAACACCACCTGCACTTAGGAGAAGCCCACTGTGGCTGCAGAGCCCCTGGCCTCTCCCCTCTACCTTGACGACGATGCCGGAGGGGATATGCTTCAGCACCACACAGTTGCTGGTTTTGTTGGTGGCTTGGCCCCCTGGACCGTGTCCTTTCACAAACTGCTCTTCAAGTTCATTCTCATCCAGGGGAAGCAGAGCAGGACAGTCCTTCTTGCCTGCCATCTGGACAACCGTGGCAGCTATTCCTGGGGATAGCAGCGTCAGCTTCTCCCAAAGCCCAAGTCCCCGAGGCACTCTGCATAGTCTGGTCAGTGGTGCAGGAAATCGGAATAAACCTGAGATGCTCATAAAGGATGTGGCTGGGCTTATTCAGGACCTAAAATGGACAAGGAAAAAGACCAGCTTTTCAGGAAGATGCCTTTGCTCTGAAGACGGCAGAACAAGTTCTAAGGCAGCTTTTAATACAATTCAAATGATGACCCGCCCCACCTGAGAAGAGACGAGCCACTCAGCACCTGCGTCCAGCTGGCCTTGCCCATGGTGTCCTCCCCAGTCCATCCCTGCCAGCTAATAAATATCTCCTCCTAACAGGCCAAAAATATCTTCAAAGCACCCAGAGGTGCTGTTCTCTCAGGAAAGAGAGGTTTGAGTGTGAAATTCAAAGGAACAGGGACATAACTTGATAATTATTTAAGTAGCACATGAGGCAAGGATTAGGATGTTAATCAAATGACAGTATTTAAATGTCTGTGAATTTGAAATCAAAATGTAAAGATGACAGTATGACTCCATTTTAGAGCTGAGCTTAAACAGTCTGACACAGTAAACTTCACTATCAATCAATGTCATGATTGTTGTTTTTCAATGTTTCCAGTTTCATGAATTTGAATAAGAACATCTGTTCCCCTGGACACACTGCCAATAATGTGATCCAACTGGTCCTTATCGCTAGGACTACCAAATCAACCAAGTTTCATTAAGGTGCCTGTGAAATTTGAAACCGCATGTTCAGTGTAGTGAGGGTTAGGAGATGAAAAAGAGCTGGCCTCTGTCTTCATGGGGCTTACAAGCTAGTATGAGAAGATATTTAAAAAGCAAGTGAGAGTTGAGGTGCTGAGGACTGAACACAGGGCCTCGTGGTGCTGAGCACATGTTCTACCACTGAGCTACATCCCCAACACTGGGAAAGTGGGAGAGGGAGAAGGAGAGAGAAATGTGGGCTATCTTAAGACATACACATTTTGGGGGTAAAGAAGTAAGAAATGTACATTGTTCAATATGGAGGATGCTGGCCATCTTGAGTGAGAAGCTTTTTGGATGAAGCAAGGAATACACAATTAAGGGAGAATGAGGGCCATGTAGAGATGTAGAAACAGCCAACAATAAAATATTTAACTACTTGAGATAGAGCATAAGGTTGAAATCAGTTAGCTGGTAAATGAACATGTAGGAATATCGGCTATGAGGTGGTAGTGAATCCCACAGGCCTTTGCTTTTTTCAAAGGGACAAACGCAGATGAATCTGGTCTCCCCAAGAACAGGGAGAGCTATAGCCCTGGGCCTGAATTCTAAATTGGAAAATGGGTGAATTAACCCTTCTCCACCCATCCCACACAGGCACAGAAAAGACCAGAAAACAAGTGTTCTGGAGAGGGCTCTGTGGGTGCCTTCTATGTTTAAGACGGATTTATCAGCCAGGTGGACGGTGGGAACTGCAGCTCTCACGCTTGCCGATGGTGTCTTCGTTGGGAGACAAGGTAGTGAACAGAGGCGCTGCTCTTCGGTGACGGCTCTGCCAACTCTCAAAGGTGGGTCACTGCCCCAGCTCTGCCCTCAGCCTGTTCACCCTCCCCACACTGTCAACTGTGCCTGCTGACATCACTGAGTGCACTTGGAGCTCTGGAGGAGTGTTGCGGGGGAGTGACCCAGGTGCTTTTCCTATTACTGAGTGATCAGTACCATTGACACTGAGATGACACTGGTCATCTTTGAATGACAAGACAATTCCCTCACCTTTACCTCTGCTGTTTATGTGGGACTATAATGAGACCTCACACGACAGGTTTTCCAACCTTCTGCTCTGCTAGTTCTCAATTCTATGGGTTATATGCATGTCTTCTTGTGGTGACCACGGCATGCTCAGTCTCAGTAGGCAAGGACCTCCTTGGCTGTGGAGGATATGTTTTGAAAGAGAGTGCCAACGAAAATGGGGTTTTGAAAACTGGTTTTGTTTAATGTATGTGAAATATTTTACAAGTATCCTCAAGAAAAGATAAATACTAAAGCCAGACACTTCCTCCACAATCTCTTCAACAAAGGACTACGTGTGGTCGAGAGAGTAGACGAGTACATGTCCACAGTTCCCCCTCCCTCGTTTTTGCTCTCCATCTGCAGAACAAAATTCCTTTGTGTGTCAGCAGCTTCTGGACCCGAGAGTGGATTCACTCTGGAACATGAGCCCAGAGCCTCTCTGGGGTTTCTCTTCCGCTCATTTGTGAATTGGAGGAGGCAGGACAGCACTGGTAGATGGTGCCGCGACAAAGAGAGGAAGACGCCTAGACGAGGCGAGCCTCAGACAAAGCAGGCAGTGGAGAGATTTCAGAGCTGCTTTGTTACAGACCACTGTTCAAACCTTGGCTCTTCTGTCCCAATTCAGAGCTGACAGACATCCTGGAAGATCTCCCACCCAAATGAAGTTCAAGAAGGTCCTCAGTGTTTGGTTACTGGCTGCTTCGCTTAATGGTTAATTCCAATAACCAATCAGACAATTCTAGACACTTCTAGTATCTCCTGGAGCTTTGGCCCTATTCCAATGACTGCTAAAAGTGACAGTCCCCTTTCCCAACACCCAAAGAATATGGATTGGATTTCAGTTCTTGTGATATACACAGAGCAATCTAAAGTTTTTTGGAGAACATTAAAACAGCTCAAATTATAGCTCATCATGACATTAAAAAAGAGAAAGAGAAAAATGGTAAAAAGAAGTGCGAGTAAGGAGAAACCAGCAGTCACAACAGCTTTGCCCTCATTCTGGGAGTGTGGGCTCTAATTGAGGGCCGGCTCCGTCCCCACTTCCCTCTGCTCTGCCTTCCTTTGAGATGGCTTTCACTCTTAAACAGCTCATCAAAGTTTAGAGTAAAGCCCTCAGTCCATTTCAACTCAGAGATGACAGGTCTGAGGACTTCACAAAAGGAAATGTTAATTTGTCCAATAAATATTTTAATTATCTACTGAGTTTAAGGCATAGGTCTCAGGGAGCCCAAGGAGCCTATATCATAAAACAAAAATTAAGACATCTATAAAAATGATTCATGCCATAGCCCAGGACAGACAACATGCTATTGAGCTGTAGTTCTCAAACTTTAATACGGCCCCAAATCACTTGGAGCGCTTGTTATCAAGACGTGGAAGCTGCATTCCATTAAGCTGCACCTGTCTTCATCACTGGATCCAGAGAGCTCATCCCCTCCTCTAGCTCCACAATCAGTTCAACCCAAGAAACACAGCTAGCTGCAGGGACATAGGCTCAAGTCAGCACCAAGCCCAGACGGGACTGTCTGAGGTTAAAACTGGACGCAGGAGGCAAGGCCATGCCACCAACAACTGCACTGCTCTGGGGAGGGTGGAGGGTGGTGGTACCTGCTGCTCCTTTAGTGTCCCTAAGACAGACAAAGCTATTTGATTTGAATCTGTTTTAGTAAAGTACAAGATTTTGATCTCTGGACCTGTCTTCTAGATACTATTTATTTAAAATTCACTATTTTAAGTGTTTTTCTTAGGAAGGGAGAGTACTGGTTTCCCTTAGTCACAACTTTTACACTCTGCAACCTTGCAGAATCAACTGAAGGAGCCAATGTGGAGACTTACTGGAACAGGATGCTTGAGGAAAGATGTTCACAGCCAGGCTCACCACTCAAATTCCAATTCCAATGCACCCCCTTCTCCACCCTGGAGTCTTTCTAAATCTGATGCTAGTTCTTCAGTGGGGTACAAGGCCTCAGATTCTGTTTTTCTAGCCAGCCCTGGGTTGAGGCTATTGCTGCAGATCCAGAGACTGTACTCTGGGTGTCCAAGAGCTTTGAGCCAGGCTGCTGCAGGCACCCTGCACTTAAGGTCATGTGACTGCCTGAGGAGAGCCTGGGGTTGTAAAAGAGTGTGGTGGGAGGATTGGGAAACCATCTAGACCAGAGAACTAAAAGATTGTTGGTTTGAACTCGCAGAGAAGGTGACATGGCAATGCATGGATTGAAAAACTGGGTCAAATGGAAAGAATACAAAAAACGTTGCCTCTGTGGCATTAATGTTCCAGAATAGTATTACCCAACGAAAATATACTGCTAGCTGCATGTGAATTCTAAGTTTTCTAGTAATCATACTAAAAATCATAAAACTGATTATTTATAATATATTTAGCACAATGTGTTAAGAATATTATTTCAGGGCTGGGGTTGTAGCTCAGTGGTGGGGCGCTTGCCTGGCATGCATGGGGCACTGGGTTCGATCCCCAGCACCACATAAAAATAAACAAATAAAGTGGAGATATTGTGTCCATCCAAAAAAAAATTTAAAAAAAGAATATTATTTCAATAGGTAATAAACAGCTGGCATGGTGGCCCTTGCCTGTAATCTCAGCAACTTGAGAGGCTGAGGCAGGAGGATCACAAGTTTGAGGTCAGCCTCAGCAACTCAGCAAGACCCTGCCTCAAAACAAAAAGGACTGGGGATGTAGCTCAGTGGCAGAGCACTCTCTGGGTTCAATCCTCAGGGCAGGGGGAAAAAAATACAGCTACTGTTTATTTTATTTTTATAACATTTAAGGTGAGAGTAGAATTCAGAAGGGCTGAGTAATTGCTTATTCATGTGAGTCTTCTCTCCCCTTCCCCAATAAACCACAAGTCTCAAAACAAAAAATCCAATAAATGATGAAGGATCAAACATGTTGAAAATGTCTTTAAAAAGACAAAATGGCCTGCTGACGGCACAGAAGCTAAGAGAGAGAGGAGAATGATTTTCTGAGAGCGTGGATTTTTCTGTTGTTGTTGCTGTTTGTTTGTGTTTGCAGTGCTAGGGATCAAAATCAGAGCTTTGTGCATGCTAGGCAAGTGCTCTACCACCGAGACACACCCCAGCCCTCAAAAGTGTTTTCTGATGCCCCCTATAAAATGGGAGTTAAAAGAAAGTAGCCTTTCTCTGTTTTTCGCATGTAGCTCATCCCCCTATACCCGAAGGCCTGAAGTCCTTGTAAGGGCTGACTTTCCTCTCCAAAGGGAACTGCTGGTGTCCTGCAGGACAGGCGTGGGGCTTCACGCTGAGGATAAAGCACCTCTCACCCACAGTCAGTGTTCACAGAGAATTATCTTTCCAACAAGTACAGCACAATAGATCCAGCAGGAAATGCAGAGCTGTCATCTTTGATTTGGGGGACCAGTGGAAAAGATGACGGCTCTGGGTCTGGTCTAAATGTAATAGGCTCACTGCTGCAGAGTTCAAGAGACAGGTAATGAAGTATATAAAGAGAAACATCCAATTCATATAATACTGACATCCTGTTCATCTTTTTTTTTTAAACAGAAAACTTTAAAGAGAATTACACTTGTCCTATTTGTGAGCACCACTGTGATTTTCTTCTATTTATGGCATCTCACAGGAACCTTATAATTTATCAACTACATTTTAAAAACAGAAACACATAAAAGAGCAGCAATAACATTACATTTTCTTCTAAAAGTCTCAAAGCCTATAGCCATTAATGATGCCTTGTATTTATTATTTAAAATGTTTCAAAGCACTTTAACATGTATTATTGGATTTGACACAAATGAAGAAAATAGGGAAGGTACAATATATGGATTCTCTCAGGAAGACTTATCTTGGAAGATTACTGAGTTTTCAATTAATTTTTTTTTCCTTAAGTTGTAGATAGACACAATACCTTTATTCTATTTATTTGTACTGGTGCTGAGGAGTGAACCCAGTGCCTCACACGTGCTAGGCAAACACTCCACCGCTGAACTATAACTCCAGCTCTGGTTTTCAATGTTTTTATTTTAAATATTTTTTTTAGTAGTCAATGGACCTTTTATTTTATTTTATTTATTTATTTATTGATTGATTGACTTTTCAGAAAAAAATTTATTGTGATTTGTCAAGAATTTCAGAAGGCAAAGTAAATATGATATTAGGGGGATCTTTAGGGTGGGAACTTTTCTTACAGATCGGTTAGGATTCTACTATGTAAGAGCAATACTTTGTACTGAAAATATTTCATTTAAAATGTCTAACTCAAGAATTACCATGAGTTTTCATGTGGAGAAACAAGGTCCTAGGAAGAGAAGAACAAGGTGGGCAGCTAGTGAGAGATGGGCCCAGCCTGCTTGGTATTTGCAGCTTCACTCAACAGGCTAACCACTCTCCGTAAGGCCACTGAGAAATCACTGGGCAGAGAGGGGCACACTCATGACTGTGGCATAGACTGGCTCTGAGTGAGATCCTGGATCCTGGGGGGTCCAGTCTTGCAACAAGTGTCTGGAAGAGAAGCCATCTTCACAAAATGAGGAGAAGGAAGTATACTTAGCAAATCAGCTGAAGACAATAACCAGACTCATAAAAGCCAAGGCCTGCAACACTCAGCCTTTGCTCCCTCCAGCTTCACAGTCAAGAAGTGCTGCCAGTGTACCTCAGCACATACAAGCGAGCGAAAAACATGACTTCTTCATAAATAACTGCTGGCCATGACCAGTACAGTGGTAGCCACTGCAGCAGGACCTTCTACTCCAGTGTAACGTAATTCACTGACGATGTGCAGATTTCTCAAGGGGATTCACTGGGCTTCTCCCTAACTCCCCGTTACCTTTGGAAAATCAAAGAATCATTGAAGCGAAACCACCACTTCTCAGAGGGTCAGCCTAGTCATCGTACTGAATTTCAGCCTGCAGCTCCTTAGTGATATAGTTCACCAGCATTGCCATTAGCTGATGCTTCAGGGCCTCACTGCCCATAACCAGAGTAGTCAGCTGCACAGCGTCTGTCCAATCCAAGTGCCTGATGATGGTAGTGGCTTCATTAAAGAGCTTCTGCTGCTCAGCGGGAGGCAGCTCCATTAAGATCTGTGGAACTGGCTTAAGCTGTCCACTCATCATCCAGGCACCTAATAGACCTCCTACAGCCCCTCCAACAGCTAGTCCTGGTGGGCCACCCATCAAACCACCAACAAAGGCCACAGCCCCTGTGACCAGGGCACCCCTCCCAGAGTGCTTGACAGCTGCCTTCATCTTGCTTTCCTGGGAGACGGAGCACAGCTGCTTCATGATGTCCGACACTATGATGGGCATCTTGGGAGACTCCAGAGTCTCCCACAGGCCGCGGTGATGGCGCACAGGCCCCGCCCTCCCCTATTTTATTTATTGACACACAGTGCTGAGAATCAAACCCAGTGCCTCACACATGCTAGGCAAGTGCTTTGCCACTGAGCCACAATCCGAGCCCCGAGTTTTCAATTTTTGAAACTAAGTTTATCCTTTCCTTAGCTTCACCAAATAGTTCTTTTCCTAGTAAGATGTCTCCCTGCCACTCTGTCCAGTATTCAATGTCTCAACTCTTTGTGTAACTTTGGCCATGTTTCCTCATCTGTAAAATGGAGACAATAACATCTAGGGTGAGAACAAATCCTACATGTTGCCACAAATGTAAAGTTCTAGTGCTTACTAAGTGGTAGCACTTCAATTGCCTAAACTACAAAGCTGAGGAACCTCTGACTAACATACCACATAAGTCGTGGTCTTATGGCATATAAACTAATTATTCCATGGGCTTTTCGGAGTTCAGATTGAAAAGGCAGCTAGAACAGTGACCTGCAAGTTATTTTCTTTGGTTGGTCCAATTTAAGAAATACTTGGAAACCACAAAATTGCAGGAGACAGTTATTTGGTGAGGTCATAATTCTGGTCCATGAACTGGGATCATTATGATGCCAAAATACAGTCTGAATTCTTGGCAGGCTCCCATTGAAAGATAAGAACACTTACAGCAAAGTAATCCCTGGCTCAAACATAGCTGTATCTAGGAATACAGAAAGAGGAAAGATATAGAAAAAATTAAATGTAAGGTTGGGGATGTAGCTTAATGGTAGATCAACTGCACAGCATGCTTGAGAACCTGGATATGATCCTAAGTACCATGAAAAAAATTTGAAACTGAACCCAGGGCCTTGCCCATCCCAGGCAAGAATTCTGTGAGTTATATCCCCAGCCCATTTAAAAAATTATTTTTTTTAGGTAGGGTCTCCCTTAGTTGCCTAGGTTGGCTTCACATTTGCACTTTTCCTGCCTTAACCTTCCCAAGTGGCTGCGATTATGATGTGAGTCACCATACCTGGCTTAAAGACTTATTATTTCTCATTTTATTGCTGTGAAGACACCCTCCCACCCCCGCCACAGCAAATTGTTTGGATATAAAAGTCAATGACAAAAAGTAACACCCTGGTTAACAGGAAATATCTCAAGTCATCAATGGCCTCTATTGCTCAACAGCTGTTTGATTACTTAAAAACTATTAATTTGAAGCTTTCAAGACAAACAAGAAATACTTGAAAACTTGATGTTATGATAAAACTATAAGGTAATCTCGCAACATTATAAAAGTCATAAACTAGAGTTCACTAATGCAAGGTCTCTGGCATGAGGGTTATTCATATTAGACAACTGTGTTAAGACATTACTTGAATTTTTGAAGCCTCTGCTTTTAGCTTTCCTTGGACTTTAAAAACAGACATTCTTAGCTTGTTTACAAAGCTTTTAAAAAGACATTTCTTAATCCAGTAAAGGCAATTTCCACTTTGAATTTTTTAAAATTAAGACTCTACTAAAGACATATGGGGGGGGGGGCAAGGGTTGTGGCTCAGCAGTAGAGGGCTCACCTAGCATGTGTGAGGCCCTGGGTTCGATCCTCAGCACCACATAAAAATGAATAAATACATAAAATAAAGTTATTATGTCCATCTACAACTAAAGAAAAAATAAATATTTTAAAAAAGACATATGGTGTAAGCAATCTTATCAAAATATATCACTGCATCATTTAATAATGATAATATAATGCTAGATCCTGAACACATTGGCTTATTAAGACATTCATGAATTAAAAAGAAATTACCTACAAGTCCCCTAAAATTGCTCTGCCAAAAACTAAATAAAAAACACACTCCCAGGGCTGGGGTTGTATCACAGAAGTAAAGTATTGCCTAGCATGTGTGAGGCACTGAATTCGATCCTCAGAACCACATAAAAATAAAAGTCTATCAATAACTAAAAATAATAATAATAATAACTCCAAATACACTATCAAAGTAAGTCTGATTTTGTAATCAAAAGCAATGATCAACTACCTTTTTCATGGTTATTAACTAATCACTAGTAATAGCTTTTAGGGCTAATATTTCTTTTCTGAAACAGATCTTTGGTTGTCTAGAACTCTTCTCAGTTCTTCTGTGAGTGCCAGATTCTATAGTGCCTCTCAGCCGAAATTAGTGATAATTTTGTGTGTGTGGACCTGATATATTGTCACTGAAAATACAGCCAGGTGCTGAGAACATTTTGATTTTGGTTAGGTGTTACATGAGCATAATACTGATAGGTGGATTACCACACGGGGTCTGGGTTTCCATTTATTTAAGCCTCAGATCTGACACACTGATGGGGTTTTGGATGGAGACTGTTTTACTGTTGAAAATAATAGGTATTCTAAGGAAGTGCAATGAGATGGAGGCCTCCAGAGACATTAGTCATTCCAAGGGGAAATCCATCCTTTGCATCCTGGCTTCTCAGTATCATCTCTGGCACACTAAAGTGACAGGACCGCAGAAAGTATTCGCTTAGTATTAAAGGCTAACTAGGCTGAAGAACATGCTGGTCAGTACGTATCAGATGGGCTGAGGCCCACGGGAAGTAAAGCGGCTTTCGGCGGTCTTCCCAAGCTTAGCAAGGGCAGTGCCGACACCTACTACGTGCCACTCCCAGGACAGCACTCGCTGCGTGGCCACAGCTGCATCCCGCTCTGCTTAACATGCAAATTAGACCTTTCTCTTCCGCCTCTGGGAACTGCTCTCTCCAGAGCGGGGATCTCTGCTCCTCTCCCGCGCCCCGAGGGCTTGAGGACCAGCAACTCTACCCAAGCAGCTTAGGGTAAAACGCGCGCTGGGGTCGGGACCGGCTCCTGCTCCACTTCGCTACCAGGCCCCCAGGTAAGCTGGTTGTTTGACAGTTCGCAAGACGGGAAACACTCAGGCGTCTTGGCTCCTAGGCCTCTCTAGAGCCCTGGACAATCGTGAGCAGCCCTAGGGACTCTGCCTTCTTCGCGGATGCTTACCTGGTCTTGGCACGGACCTCCCTCCGAAAACGTTCAGGGTGAACCAGAAGCACCGCAGACCTGGGAGCGCGCAAGTGCGCACGCGCAGTACGCTCGCAGCGGAGTCCCTCACCTGCCGGAGGCGCATTCCCACTAACTGCGCATGCGAGAAGCTGAGACTTCTTTCCCGCGTGCAGCGGTAGGTTCCCAGAAAGCCAATCAGAGGGGAGATCTTGACAGTAGCCCCACTCCCACACCCCTAGCTTCGAACCTTCCCGTTTGGCGCGCGGGGAAGTGGGTGGCAGACGCGCGCACCGCGCTTAGCCGTCTCCGCCCCTTTCCGAGCAGCCAATCGCGGGAGAGACGCCGGACGCGCGCACGTTCCCCGGAGTTTAACGGTCGCTCGAGGCCGCTCGGCTGACCCTGACTTCGGCAGTGGGAGCGGCGGCCAGGTAAGTGACAGTCTGCCTGCGGAGAGCTGCTGGCCGCGGGGCATGGGGCACGAGATGTAGCGGACACCTGAGTGCTCAGATGGGCCAGGGTGAGGGGAGACAACTGTCTGGGGAGCAGCCCGGCCAGAGCTCACTGGCGTGTGGGGTTCTTCAGCTCTGCGTGCGCCTCTTCTAGACTCGGTGCCCTTGAGTGACACCCGCGCGGCCCAATCGCAGAGCGGCCTTTCTGAGGGGCGGGGGGGGGCTTTTTTATTATTAATTAATTTCTTCTTCTTTTTTTTTTAATTGACAAGGTGCCTGGGTGTCTGAGTCTCCGCGGTGGTTTCTGCCACCAGCGCTTTTCTTTCTTCTCTGGTTTGACGCGGTAGCCGCCTCCAGCAATAGGGGCTCTGGCCTCCGCCCGCAGCGGTGCCGCGGCCGCCCTGCGGGGAGGACGCCCTGTCCACCTCCGGCTGCTGTGGGCCCCATCGGTGTTCCCTGTCCCCACCCCCGTTTTCTAGTGCGTGGGGGTGGGGGCTGGAGGGGCAGATTTTGTTGCTGGAAAAATATAAAAACGCCTCTGTTGCTATGTTTATTCCCTATCAAATTTCCCTTTTTTTAAAAACATTTTGCATCTTATGTCAGCCCCTCCCCCGTTTTGCTGACTTCACCCGCCCCGCGCCCCAACCGGAGAGGCCACCCGGAATTTCTGGTTTTCCGTCGGGTTCCACCGCATCTGGTGGCCTCAGCCGGGGAGGTAATAGATGGGGTTGCAGATCCGGCCCCCTGGCGTGGCGCGGGGTGGCTGGGACTCGGGTGTGGAGCGGGCAGCCCCTGGCTTGTTCAATGCCCCGTTTGTCATTGGTGCTGGGCCGAGCCACTGGGGAGGCCTGCATTTAGCTCGGTCCGGTTACCCTGGGCTTTCACACCTGTCCCCGAAGGAGATGCTTCCTTGATGAGCTGATAGCTTTTGGTGAAGTGCTTTTCTAAAACCAGGCCCTAGGAAGTGGGAGCCCTAGGTAATGGTCCTCGGTTGCACTCTTTTAAACGCTTCTTATTGTGAGCAGCACAGGTTTACCCCCCACCCCCTTTTGTCTTTCTTTTCCCCTTGTTTCCTCAATTCTTTTTAAATGCCTGAATTCGCAAAGAAGGAGGCATATTGTAATAGTTTAGTTATAATTCAGTTAAAATTTAGTTGACCTGACACATAGTTTATTTTTAAAGAAATGATACATGCACAGAGTACAAAAGGCTAGATAGTGCAAAGTTTGCTTCCAGACAGTAGGGAAACTGTGTTAACAGTTTTCTCTTTTTAATAATAAGCAGTTAAGTTCTTCTAGTCACTGCATGAAACTAACAAGCATACTTGTTAGAATTTATTAAGTGAACAATGAATGTAAGCATTCCAATTGTTACATAATAGGATTGTGTCTAGAAGCTTGATTATTAAATACAAAATTCTGAAAAAGATGCTGCTGTGTTTGTAAATCACCCTTAATGTAGATTTTTAAATTGAGATCTATAATTCACATGCCATAAAATTTATCCTTTTCAAATAAGTTTCAGTGGTTTTTACAAGGCTGTAGAACCATCACTAAATTCAAAACTTTTCATTACCCCCAAAAGAAACCCTGTACCTATTGCAGTCACTCTGATTCTTTCCTACCTGCGACTGCTAACAAATGTTAATCTACTCTCTGTCTCTGAATTTGCCAATTTAAGTATTTCATATAATTGGAATCATACATTATGTGGTTTTTGTGACTGACTTTTACTTAGCATTATGTTTCATTCATGTTATAGCATGTACCAATACTTCATTCCTTTTTAAAGCTGAATCATACTCCATCATATGAATGTGCTACTTGTCATCATCCATGCCTCTGTTGATGGACATTTGGGTTGTTTCTGTATTTTGGCCATTGTGAATATTGATGCTGTCTTTAATGTAGATTTTATAAAAGAAGTGAAGATTTCCAAAGTCACAAAAGGACAGTTGCTAAGTTAGTGGCTTTTTGTACAAGTATTTTTTCCCCATTCATTTTCAGACTCTCAAGGAAGTTTAGGATATTTCACAGTTCTGAATGTTAGCAACTGAAAATGCCAGTAGATGATGAAGCATCTGAAGATGACTCGGATTCAGTTTCCTCAAACAGTGAAAAAGCCTATATTTTCAAATAAGAGAGTATAACAATTTCTGTACACTATGGAGGATTTTGACTTGGTGAAAACCTTACAAAAAGCTTCATCTGTAGAATCTGATATCAAAAATTCTCCCCATTCTCTTGGATTGAGCTTAAATACTAATAGGTAAGAATGGGATAGATATTTTGTAACAATAAACTAAAATAACTTTATTTGCATAGTGTATCAGTTTATCCAAATAGTGTCATAGTTGCTGATTTAAATGTGTTAAAAAAAATCAGGAACTGTTCAGGAACAATTATTTAAGTTGAGAATACTTTTAGTTCTTTTGTGTTTTTCATTTCTTCTAGAAAAAATGTGTTTTTGCATGTGGAGCATTGTGAGAAAGAACTTATTTTGCTAATTGTTTATGCTTTTTTAAATTTTTAATTTTTTGCTTTGGTAAATAAGAATATTTAAAAATTTTTGTTGCCTAACTATTATTTCTGCATTTTAAATTAATGGTACAACTAATGTCTTGTATTGCAGAAATACCTCACCAATCTGGAAAGTAGAAATTAAAATTAAATATTAGGAACTAAGCAAAAAACAGACTCTGAGATAACAAAATAGTCAACAAAATGCATCTTATTTTTAAGCTATTCCATAGTTGATTTTTTGTTTTTGTTGTGTTGGATGGAACCTGGGGCCTTGTGCATGCTAAGCAGACCCTCTATCACTACCACTGAGTACATCCCAGCCTGGTGTGGGGGTTTTTTTTGGTGCTGAGATTAAACCCAGGGGCTCTTTTCCACATTTCCAGCCCGTTTACTTTTTTTATTTTGAGATAGGGTCTTACTAAGTTGCTGAGGCTGGCCTTGAACTTGGGATTCTCCTGACTCAGCTTCCTGGGTTACTGGTGCCTGGCTGCCCAGTGGTTTTTGTTTTTTGTTTTGTGGTACTGGGGATCGAACCCAGGGCCTTGTTCATGATTGGCAAGTGTTCTAACAATGAATTGTACCTCCAGCCCATTGGTTTGTTTTTAATCAGACTCTGTACTTTTAATTTGCAGGCCAACAAGCTCCATTATTTGTAAGTTTATAGTAGCTTAAAAACAGCCACGAGGGCTGGGGCTGTAGTTCAGTGGCAGAGTGCTTGCCTAGCATGCATGAGGCCCTGGGTTTGATCCTTAGCACCACATAAAAAGTAAAAGAATAAAATAAAGGCATGCTGTCCATCTGCAACTACAAAAACAACAACAACAACAACAAAAACCAACAGCCACAAGTCAGGGTATATTAGACAATCAGTTATAAAAAGCAGATACATAGCAGAAAGCAAGGACACAGCCATTTAGGGCTTACCTATGAAGGGGTAAATAGCTTTAAACTCATGGGTCTTGAAGGAATGGTGTATTATAAATAAGTTACTTTAATAACTTAATTTTCTGCCTGCCTTCTGAGGAATTTAAAGCAGTTTACAAGAATAATTAAAATGAGGGCTGGATATAAAGCTCTGTTGGTAGAGTGTTTGCCTGGCATGCCCAAGACCCTGGATTCAATCCCCAGTATTCAAGGGGAAAAAAAAAAAAAGCATACAAGAGATGTCTGCTCCAATAGTCTGTCTATGTACACTTGCTGAAGGTTGGCCACATGTTTTGTTTGCTGTTCTCATTTGGTGGCCTCTCTGAAGTTCATTTCTGGAAGAAATTCCTTTTAGAATATAGCATTTGATTTGCCTGGAGGAACCTAAATATGGCTTTCTTATGAAAATTTTGTAATTGCACTTGGCTTCCTTGTCCTTATGACCGGCAGTTAAATCTACATGATGAAACTAGATTATTAAAACTGTATAAATCCCTTATGAACAACATATCATGTTCTTTCCCTTGAAATTTTAATACTTTACCTGTCCTAACTCTATTATTTTACTATTATTTTTCATTATTACCTCTTTCTCTTTCTTTTTTTAACAAATTCTTTGTGAAACAAAGCAGGGTATTAATAAAAATTAAAATGACATTTCAGTGCCTAGATTTTAAACAAAATTCAGTATCCTGAATTATGATGTATATGTTTATAAAATAAATGTGAATTAAACTTAAGTTTGGAAAAATCAGTCTTCCTGGAAGGAATCACAATGAATAGGCTAAATAAGTCCTGAATATTTGCTGCTAATTTACTTGGCATAAGCACCAGAACATCACACCAATGAGGGGATCCAGGTGACAAGACTTGACTGTAATTTTGGAAGTGGAGAGAGAGTCCCCACTACACAGGGAACTGCTATTCTCTAATTAGGCTCGAGATAGTGCTCTGGAACATAGAGATTCTCACCTGGAGACTGCTTAGTACCTGCTACCACAGACTCATTTCCTGCTGATTCTTTGGAGTGTTTTCATTATGCCTGAGAGGTCTTTCTGTTGGGTTTTTTTTTTTTTTTTTTTTTTAAAGATTTCTAAGCACTGCCTGTCATTTTACTGATGTCTTCCTTTTGTGACCAGACTTATGATCAGATTTTCAACGATTGAGGTACCATTAGAAGGATTAAATATCAGTGGTTTTGTATTACTTTGTTAAATCTTGGACTGCTGAATTATTCAACACTTTGGTAGAATGAAGAAAACCATTTGAAT